GCAGAAGGTGGTTGCTGAATCATTAGGCACTGGCAAATTTCTGCTGGTATATGACTTTGGCTTTGCAATCTCTATGTTTTCACATCAAGTTTCTTTTTCCATAGTATACCCAAATAAGAGCCTCTCTTATTCATCTCTACAAATATCTACCTAGATATTAAAGTTTGAATCCTACCATTACATATTTCAACAGCTTGCTTATGTTCCTGTCAAGTTCTTCTTCTCTTCTTCCTATGAAAACTACTGTAAAATTTCCTTCCCTGTCTTTCCATGCATGTCTCTACCCACGCTCTGATCACATCAGAGAACCTCATTTCTAAAGCTTCCCACAGTCTGTTTCACTCCATTCCTAGCACCTGCAGGTAGCAATGTAAGTTCTACCTCTATGGGATCTGATATCCCAGACAAGTTGAGATGATTTGAAAGAAACTTTGTCTCTCCCCATATTCTTCATTTCTCCTATACCTCTCATGCTACAAAAGATTTCTCCATCTACTCTGAAAGACAATGAAGGTACTTCCTTAGATCCCTCTCTGAAACTTTCCTTCTGTGTGATGTTTACAAAAAAAGTCATAGTTTAGTCTATTACTGTTCAGACTAATAACAGACTATAATTTAGTCTGTTAGTGTAGTTGACCAGGCAACCCAGAACTGCTTCTCTGTGTCTTTATCCCATCCTTTTGCATCCATTGTGGTTTGTGTTAGATCACGTTCTCTGGAGGAAAGAGTGTCTTTTCTCTAAGGACACAGAAAGCCAGCACAGAGGAGCCTGTGTTATGCCTTTGTAATATGTAATTTTTCAACCCTGGAGAAAGTACTTCCATTTTAATTAATGTATTCCATTCAATTCCATTTTGATTTCACTCTATTATTAGACACACAGGAAGTGGAACAGATGTGTATTAGCTTAGCCAATTTATCAACTTCAGCAAATGAATCCGTCAAGACAGAAAAAGCATTGAACTCCTTTTGATCTGCAGGACTTAAAGCTCCTGCTCACACAGCTTCTGCAGACACAGGAAGGTGGGAAGCAGCTTCCAACACTGAGATTGCTGTGGGCCATACCTAGGAATTCAGATCAAGCTTCTTCACTTGGGCACTTGCTCACCATGGCTGGAACTATGCACACCCCACATAACATGTGACAGTCATGTAACCATGAAGGCTTTGAAGGCATCACTTTTAGACTGGGATTGTATCTGTTCTCATCTGAAGTTGCCCTTTAAAGGTCTTGACAATCCAGAGCTGATGAGAAGAAATATTTTGAAGTTTCACACTCATTTAATTATCATCCCCAAAGTAGATTTTCATAAAGATTCTACTTCGTGAAGACACTTCTCACAGGCTTCTGTCAGGAGCAACAAATTGAAAGTCTCAACAGGTGTTAGAAAGAGAAATGTCACTGTTGTTAATCTCAGAAAAATGTAAAGTGGAAGGATCAAAATATTGCCAGGATAGCAAGTTAATTATTTATAATCCTTTCCATACTGCCTTTGTTTCATGGGCAAAGCTGTTAGTTAAAGTACCAACGAAGTATCAACTTTGAGAGGTAGAAATTAACAGGTGTGGCAAACATACTATGCCCAGGAATATTTTGGCAGACACTCTCATGCGACTCAATTTTGCTCATCAGGTTGATATGTTGTCAAAACCACTGATAAATACTTACCTGAAGAGCAACCTTCTAACTAACTTCTAGTCTTCTTTAACATGATTCCATCTGTACTCACAGCTAAAGGCCCATTCAATGAAGTTCAGCACGATCTCCACTTCCAGAACGCGTCAGTATCCAAACCCTCCATTAGTGCCCAACCTCACTAACTACTTATTTGTAAGCAAATGACTGGCTGATGGTAAATAATAAACATATCAGAATCCTAAAACTCTATTTATAAGATTATGTTAGGTCTTCTCAGTTTTTCAAACTGAACAGACAACTCAAATGAAAAATCTAAGCAAAACAGGTCATTTATAAAGGCAAAAATACTTGACAAACATGACCTTTCAGCCCCGAATTCTGCTGTGCAAATTTTTTTCTGAGGTTACCAATGTTTTCCAATACATGTTAGGAAATGCACATGAAGAGCCTATGAGCAGTTTATTTAAGGATCCAATTTGAGTGTTTGCTGGCACAACACCTCATCGTTGGCTCTGCATGACTGCAGGGTTTGGAGGTCAAGTAAGGACAGGAAAGTGTTGGACCTATCTCAACCATCAGGTGCCCATGACTTGCCATCCTAAACAATAAAAAGTGATTATGGTCCCTCTGATTGCTTCTTAAAGTTATTAACTGTTGACACTTTTTAGACTTATCTCTGTTGTATGAAGAGTAAAGGACTCTGTTTAGTTTGTCTGTCCTCTCTTCTTCATTCCCCAACTATTAATAAAAGTATTAGACGTCAGAGAAAGAGGGGATGGAAAACAATACACTTTAAAACCATTTGAAAATGCTAAAGCTCAGCACAACCACATAATGAAAAACAGGCAAAAATCCTCCACAAATATAAATTAATATTTTCTTGTGCTTTAGAAAAAAAATTGCTCCTTTTTCTGAGCATTTTTTCTTTTTTTTTTTCCCAGGGAAAAAAAAAAAAGTGAGTATAGGAAGAACCTCAGCAATTTAACGTGTATGAATATGTGTGCTGAATCTTGTATCAATAATCGTGACCACTCCTTTTCATATTACAGAGACTGGAAAGCTCAGAGCACATAACAGTTTCTCCTCAACCTGCAACTGGTAAATTTATTAGGTTCATTTTTCAATGGGAAGGAAGGCACATTCAAAAATTGCCAAAAATAATGAACAAACTAATATGAGGCAATGTTTCAGAAATTTTCTGACATCACAGACATTAGCAGATGACCATTGGCAGTGACTGTTTTACTGCCCCAGGCAGCAATGCAAGTCACACTGTTTCTCCCAGTTGTTTACTGGATCAGGTTATTGCTCTCAGTTCTCAGTTTCTATGTTGGAAATCCCATTCCTGATAAATCATGACCTCCTTTAACCAAAATAATTACAGACAGTATTGCAGAAAGCTGATTCAAGAGGAATGAGCACACAATCACTCCTCTTGCTCTTCTTTAAATCCACTGAAACTTCATTAAACTCACATTACTGACTATTGCAGAGAGCAAAGAATTAAGAAGGCAACTGATTTCATTGTTGAGAAATGGTTTCCTCCAAGCAAGCAACTACTTAAACCTCCAACAACTACAAGCTCACAGCAGGCCCAGTACATTTCCACGTGTAGCTATGTTTTAATTTCCTTAAACCACAGGACGTAAGTCACAGTTCCAGTAGTGTCTGGAGTGAGATATTCTGTGCTGATAATGATGCAAAGCTTTATATCCTGTGGATTCCAAATGTGTGGTATGTCACAAGGATTTCACAGAACCAAGAAGATGATGTCTCTTTGCTTGCACAGGGTTAACCCCTTCAAAGGCAGCAGTTTACTTGTCTTTCTTGCACTTAAATGAATGTACTCTCTGAATTCCAAGAGTATCCTGAGCTCCACTGGCCTCCAAAACCATTTCCTTCTTCCTCCTACCTTTGTAATTTCTTCCCAATTTCCTCTCACCAATCTAACCATGACTCTAGTTGATCAAGACATGACCATGTGCAGCTCACTTCAATCTCTTACACACTGAGAATTTCCCATGGTGCTCAATACTATTTGCAAAGAGAATTTCAACGTGTTCCCCAGTCTATTTCCCACCACATCACACAGTTACCTGCACAATCCCTAAAGAACATTCTCTCTTTGCACAGAACACTTCAGGTAATTCTGTTACTATAACTTTTAAACTGGAATCTGTATCTAGAAATTTATTTGAACCTCACTGTTGTAGTTCTTGTAATTATTATTAGTGTTCCAGTTGAGCAACCAAGTAGCAGGCATAGGATGAGGAAAATCAAGGAACTACACAGCATGTCCAGCAGTTCACAGTCCTGCTTAAGAGTTCTCTTCAAATTCCTTTGATTTATCTACATCTTGCCCATCCAACATTAACAGTTAACTGCCTAGGGAAGGAAAAATCCTACTCAACTACAGTCATGAAAAGTAGAAAGAAAGAAAGAAGCAGCTACCCAGAGCCAGGTAGATCTGTATTTTGGAGGCTAGGAACAGACCATGGTCTTACACACTCTTGGGCTGAATAATACCACACATCTCTGACTAATGCCACAGCCTCCCTCAATTGTTATTCCAAGGAGAAAAAAAAAAATCTCAAAAAGAGGATACTCAGCTATTTGCAGTTAATGACAAAAGTTGAGTTTGTTCCCTTTCCACCTGAGCACCACATCAAGCATTCTCTAACACAGCTCCTCTGGGGCCTGCCATCAGCCCATGGAGTCAGTAACTGAAGCAAATACATGTATTTTTTCCATTTGGTTGCACTGTTTTACAGTATCATTACTGCATTATGTCCTGGTCAGCAAAATTTTAAACCATTCTATGCTGTCAAATCACTATTGTACAGACTGTATAAATCTATGTCCCATCTACTCAAGATATTTAAGGTGTTTCTGCTGTTCATTGTATTCTTCACATTTACTAAGACATTGTTAAACTAAATCTGCCACTTTGTTCCTTAACAAAAACACCTGATGCCTTTAAGCTTCTCCAGCCCTTTCACTTTCCTGTATTGATTCCAATTTCCTTCTTTTATGCATTCATCCAACTGGAATGTAAGTGAGGAACAATTATTTGATTGGTTTAGTTCATGCCCAGAATAGCAAATATAATTACCTGAAAGGCAGCAATGTGTGTTAAGTTTGAAGTACATATAATCTATAAACCAGAATGTACTTAAAATGTGTATTGCTTATTTTATGTTACAAGATAAAACTCACCATTTTGTAATGTTTGCTGCAGGAGTTGGGAATTTTACACTTTTTATCCTTTCAAGGTAAGACATCCATAATTGCTTCAGCAGCAAATGATACTGATACATTACAAGAAGATGATTTATAGGTCTATCAATACTTGTAGACTTACCTGCTTTCAAATCCTGGTTGAATCGAGAGTATTTTGAGTGCTCAAGCAGGGGCAGACACTGCTCAATTGGTGTCCAGACATAAGTCTCAGGGCACAGCAAGTCAGAGGGCCTGTACTGACCCTGGGAAGGAGAAAAGAAGGAAAAAAACCAAAAAGAGAGTAGTCACACCAGTTGCACAAGAACCCTCTGGCTACAACTTTCCAGGTTTTCTAAAGAACAAGGAATAGTTTTAATCTAACCAACACCAAATGAGACAGAAATGGCTCCAGTGAAATCAGAGGCTTTTAGTCATTTCAGCACCATCTCAGGAATACAAACTTAACCTTGGCACTTGATGAAAATGTAAAATTAACATAACACACTTCCACGATATCCAAGATGAACTAGAAAGGTTTTGGCTTTGCTGACTGAAACTCTGTATTAAAGTTATCCTCTAGAGTTCTGCTGAGCTGGTGCCAACACTAAAAAACTCAGCACCTCCAAAATCAGCTCATCTCAACCGTTGGTAATTCCAGCAACTCATGGAGACAAAAAAAAAAATCTAATAGAAAGAAACCACTTAACAGCAAGCAGGACGCTATTTTTATTGCAACAGTGATGGAGCATTTCGTTCATTGCTACTTAAATAGTAACACTTGAATTCATGGAGTTTTTCCTGGATTAGCTTACAGGTAATGATTAGTGAAATTCTACCATTTTTCGTTGATTTATTAAAAAGATATTCTTTGCAGACATTCCCAGAAACTAACCAGCCACAATTATTTTCCCTTCAGCCACACAGAAAATCACCACCTCAGCAATAATAACCTCCTCTAATCGGATCTTCATTTGATTTAAAATAAGATTATTCAGCGGCCTATAAGCCAAGTCAGAAATCTATCTTTGAGCTATTCTCACTCCATCCTTACCCTCTCAACGTTCAGAGCCATATGGTGGCAATATCAAACCAAATTTTAGCTTGCAAATTCATTACACATATCAGCTTGAAAAACAGCCACGAAGCAAGAGTGAAAAGGTTTAAAGATCTCAAGTAAAAGTTAGGAGATGTTATCAGAAGTCACACTGCAGTTGATGCCATTAGGAGTTCTTCACAACAGTTACATTACATAGGTAATGAAGATGATCATCTTGAGATGAAGTTCCTTTTTTTCTGCAGTACCTACTATGAAAAAAGGCAATGAAGCCTTAGATAAAGCTGAGCTTCATTGTTTGGAAAGGGACATACACAATGTTTGGGAAGGGACATACACAATTACTGTGACTACAGGAGATAAAGACGTTGTCAAAAGTAAGTTGGATTCACAACCTCTGCTATTCCTTTAGGAACACCCTTGTGCAGCAACACTCATGTTTGGAGAATCAGAAGAGCCATTTTTAACATTTGCAAAGATTCCCAATTCTTTTTATACTCTCACTGTTCACCTATTTACAATATTTACAGAAAAATTAACTTTTTTTAATGTATTTCCTACCAACTATAAATTGCTGAGTAGGAAACACAAGAATAATCGCTGATAAAAACAGTATAACAGTCCATATGAAAAAATTACACTAACCAAGCTTCATGCTGAACCTTGTCAAGTACCTCATGTAACTTTCTAAATGGTCTGCATGACTGATTTTCTCACTTGAAGTACATTCAGGGTTGACTGGTGATTACTGTTGTTGGGTTTGGGTTTTTTTTTTTTCAATTAAAGGCAAACTTTTTGTATTAAATTAAAACAATATTCCTCCAATTCCATCCAGGAGCTTAAACCTCAGGGCCTTAGAAAATCCTCTAAAGCCAGAGAATGGAAATGACATTATTAAATAAACCACTTTGAAATGTTATGCTCTCTAAACAGAAATAGGTGAAAGGTATGTGAAGGTAATACTTAAAGAACACTTTCGGTCATCAGATGAAACAATTTAAGGACTTGGGGGGAAAAAAAAGCCTTTTCAGTCATATTTTTACAAAATAGAACATAATTACTTAAAGACATTTTCTCAACCAGCCAAGAGGGCAGAAATAGCCAAGGAACCATTATTCCTAGAAGACACTGCTCCCACACCTTGCAGTTGATCACATTTGTGAATGCCACACATGAATATCATACCACTATGCAGCCCTATTCTAACTGTCTCTATTACTTCTACAGTCTGTCATAAAATGGGATGTATAAAATTAACTACATTGCAGCATTGCTGGTTTGGTTATAATAGAAAAGAGCTTCTTTAGTCCTGAGCTGAATAATGGGAAAAATTGATTATTCAATCCATCACTGCAGATTCACTATTTATTTTGGGCATTAAAATACCCTCCTTTGGAGAGAGAAAAAGGAAAAAATAGTTCTGAGGTGACTTCCTTTAGATGTTTTCTTCCCCCAAAATGTAGGGTCTTGTTGACAAACTTCCCTGAAGGCACACAAGGCTGTGGGGATGACACATCGCTGACCCAGGATGCGTCACGGAATTAGAGGTAAAAATCAAAGAAGCCATTGATGCTCTTTGACATCTTCCCTTCCTAAAAGTGTTCTCAAACATACTAGAAGTAAGATAGTTCTCCTGTAAAGGCATTTTATTTACACTACTGGTTAAACCCACATCCCATGACTCATTCCACAGAGGAAGTGGGAACACAGGATGGACCTAGGCAAGTTTCCCAAAGAACACCAATTACACTGTGTCTATATTGATAGAATCAAACAGGGAATCCACAGAATTTGTTACATCAAATGCAGTAATTTCTAGGAGCTTTTGCCTTCCTCCCACCCAGACCCTTTCCATAAGCACTTACTCTCAATTTACTTCCTTTCTTCAAAATATTTAAAACTTCAATAGGAAGACAAACCACTATGAATCCAACTCGTATTATTTTCCCTCTCTCTCCTTATTCCTGGACTGTGAAAACACCTAAACCTGAGAACCAAGCCAGATTCTGCCTCATGTACAGGAGCACCTGTACTTCAAGAATAATGTACAAACTTCATTATCCACTCTAAAATGATTACATCATCTAAAAAAATCACCTCCAAGGAAACTACTTATATTCCTTCTTACTCTTAATATTGCTGATTTGCAGAGTACAACAACATAAATCCAAACCAGAAAGGGGATCTCTGAAGGGAAATGCTGCAGAGGTATTTATCACAGGAGAACAACCTAATCAGACTTGCAACATTGATTTTGAAAACCATTTCTCTTTGGCTTTAAGATTAAATCAGGATACACTGCAGAAATGATTCTGGCTACGGTAAAAGTTCACAACTGAAAACATTTTGCTTTCTTTCATTTCATGATACAAAAAGCTCTTGCACAGTAGCACTGTTTAAGCTGTCCAGACCATCTTGGGAGTATTTAACTACAAGACTTTCAACAAAAAGGATCATCTTACAGACTATCCCTAAGCACTTGTCTTAGGTTTCAGCCTCTCAAACCCAATACCACCTGCTGATGAAATGCACTCTGTCAATATACAACAACTGCACATACTTCTGCCTGTGCCCCTACATTTTGACAAGAAATATCCAATAAAATGTGGGTTTTTCCAAAATGCTTTTGGAAACAAAAAAAATATATTTACCTAAAACATAATTATTTCGATGCTGTTTAAAATTTTCACAGACATTCAAAAATACCTTTCTTGAGAAAGAATATTAACACACTTTGAACCATTGCAGGGTAAGAGCCACTGCAGGTCATGCCCACATCCATGTTACAGTCAAATATCCCATCTCTGACAAATATGAAGAGGAAAAACTCAGTGAAGACTAAACTGACAGTTTGAGTGTTACTCTGCCAATCCACTCCTGACCTCCAACAGTTTGCAATGCAGACCCTTCCACAACCAGGTAACTTCAGTAAAAATACATTTTGCCATCACACAATCCTAAACAATTGCTTTGATTTACTTCCACCTGCAAAGTGCAGCTCATTCCTCCCTCTGAGACAGAAATGCAATGAACAATTGTGGCCTTATCCCCATGTCACTCATGATTTTACAGACAAATGTGGCACCAGGTAAACTGAAAGAGGGTTATCCCTTCCCTTCCAACTCCAACCATTCTATGAGAGTTTCATCAGACTGGAGGGACCCAAATTCTTTACTGCATTACTAGGTAAGCTATTCTATACCTTTAATCATCCTGCTCAACCTGTCCTTTTTCCGGTTTTGCTTTTTGTTCTGTGAAACAGGGGCAAAGGGCCACAGGGGGACACCATCCAAACTGCATTGTTCAAGGAGCACCCTTCCAACTCCAACCATTCTATGAGAGTTTCATCAGACTGGAGGGACCCAAATTCTTTACTGCATTACTAGGTAAGCTATTCTATACCTTTAATCATCCTGCTCAACCTGTCCTTTTTCCGGTTTTGCTTTTTGTTCTGTGAAACAGGGGCAAAGGGCCACAGGGGGACACCATCCAAACTGCATTGTTCAAGGAGCAGGACAGAACCAGGTACAATAAAGATATAAAGAAAACCAAAAGATAAATACCTGACTAATTGATCAAATGGCTTGATTAAAAAGCAATAGTGAAAACTAGTATGGCAAGGAAATTTCTGGGTATGTGGTTTCTTCTACCAAGTTAACTCAGTGCAACCTCAATGTGTTTGTTTAATAAACAATACTTCCAAGATGTTTTATTTTCACTAATGTTTGAGGCATTTTCCCTCCTATATAAAAGAAATGGAAGAGCCTTTAAGGTGCTTTCCCTTATACAATTAGACATGCTGCATTTTAATTGGAAGCTTCTGGAAATAAGTTTTACAGTGAGGCTGCCAAGCCAAAATTAATACTTCACACCATGATTTTTTTTTGTTTTACAGTTTCCAAATCAGAATTGGACAGAACTTCTCTGAACTTTTGTTCTACAGGAAGGGCAAAGGTTTTAATGAGCTTTTAGTCTGGAGATTACTTTTTAAATATTTTGTAAAATCTGAGGGATTTGGTAAGTACTTGAGATGAAAAACATCAGCAGAGTTTGTTTTTGTAGTCTAAGTAAAATTTAAAATGTGAAAGCACCCAGAAAGAGAATAGTCTGGAAAACGAAGAAGGTCAAGCACCAGTAGCACTGCAAAAACAAAATAGGAAGGTTAAACACACATTTAATTCTTTTATCGGGTACAGTTTACATCTGTAT